GTCAGTGGTCTCCAAACTGAGGCCCAGGGGCCTGATGCAGCCCCTTATTTGCTTTTATCTGGCTCTTGGAGCATTATTCCTCCCACTAACACCAATGATTCCTCTTACTGACACCAGTGATGGGGCACTATTCCTCTTACTGACACCAGTGATGGGGCACTACTCCTCTTACTGACACCAGTGATGGGGCACTATTCCTCTTACTGACACCAGTGATGGGGCACTATTACTCTCACCGACACCAACGTTGGGACACTATTCCTCCCTTTAATACTAAAGATAGGACATTGTTAACCCCCACTGGCCACAGCCTGGCCCTTCTAAAGTCTGAAGGACAGTAAACCGGCCCTTTGTTTAGAAAGTTTGGTGACCCCCTGTTCTTAGGTTTATCTATTACCTCCTCCCTACTTCTCCATTAAAGAACATGTAAACCCAACATTTCATATTCCTGATATGTGCCTGCTGTACCATATACTTCTATGAAAGAGTATCCTGTTTTCTATGTATTGCTTCCTTTGTGTGAAATCCCTGGTGTTCCTGCCAGTCCCTCTGCTTTCCTAAAAACTGACCACACTAAGCAGGAGAACACACAGTGGTCAGTTCTCTAGCTATACATGGAACTCAGCCTGCTTTCCTCCATTGATCACATTTGTACTGACACCCCCCCCCCCACACAGCCATTTACTGGGGAGATCAGTGTGGTGCTGTTTCTCCTCCCCTAGCTCATATGCAGCTGAGTACAGAGGGAATGGGATTACTTATAAAAAAGAAGGGGAAAAAAGGTGTTCATAATTTTTTTTATAATATATACACAATTGGTTTGCATCTCATTTCTATTTTAAACTGAGTTTGTTTTACATGGTGAGGGTTTACAATCAAAAAAAATCAATAAAAAAAAACTCCCTCCTTTCCCTCTTGTATTGAACTGTATTGTTGCTGTATTGTCTCCCGTTATATTGTAAAGCGCTGAGCAAACTGTTGGTGCTATATAAATCCTGTATAATAATCATAATAATAATATTAATAATTGTTTACACTGCATGTAACACAATCTGTAAATGAGGGTGAGTCCAATGAGTCACAGGATACTTTCCCGTATTCAGAGATCATGTTACTGACAGTGAAAACAATGAAATAACATTTCTCAATGGAGGAGGAGGGGGGAGGTAGGCAGATCCCTGTAGGGATCTTTTCCTATTGAATTCAGCCCAGAGATATGAAAATTATTAACCCCTTGCATGTTGAAAATTAAGACACACTAAGAGGACAAGGCATCCCAGCAGTAAAAAACTCTACAAGGTCCAGCTGCCTGCAAAATGTAGGACATTATTATTATTATTATCATACAGGATTTATGTAGCGCCTTCATACTTCATTACAAGTAAGTTAGGACAATAAAGCAGTAGGGCTAAAAATAAATAGTAGCTTAACTTCAGCTTTAAGTTAGCCAATAAAGGATATCACTTAAATGTCAAACTTTATGAAGAGAATAAAGAACAAATACGTAATATATGGCAACATGAAGTAAACCTTTCCTGAAAAAAGACCCACATCCCACCCTGTGCTAGGTACCCTGTAGTATCTATACTTACAGTCTAAATGTCCACAATGGATCCACTGTCCAGAGCTCACAGCCATCATATGGAGAAAGGGAATAAATAAAGGCCTGCGTACTAGATCTTAAATGGCTTGGACCTGACCAGTTTTTTTTTGGTCCTAGCCAGTTGCATCAGAGGAATGGATCTTTGTGAATTATGGTTCACCTTTTCTAGTTTGCACCCTTGGCTTTTGTTGTCCAAACAGTGTGAAAGCACTATACTAAGGATTAGATAATTGACCTTTTGTTCCCCTTTTGGAAATGTTTGTATGCATTTCTTATCGTGTGTATGGGCCATACTGAAAAGCCAGAGAATCCCATGGTTCCTAAAATTTTCATAACACTCATGAAAAAAAAGGTCCCATTCAAAAAAGTACAAATGAAGAAAGAGCTCATAGTGTAAAACAACTACTTAAAGGTCACATTAACAAAAAACAGATATACAAAGTGCTCAGCCCAGCACTAAGGATCTGACAGCTAAATCATGAATCAAGCACCACACCAGTGCACTTCTCACTCCTCTCAGTGTGTAAACATTGCAGAACTTGAACATCATTAGGAGCGTACAGACTATATAACACATGGAAATGTGGCCATTATCAGTAATTATTTCCAGTGGTAGTCCCCCCTTGAGACAATCCCTCCAAGGCAGTGATGACAACTTTAGATGGCATGTCTTCTGTTATACCCATCTCAGGAGATTTTGAGTAGAAATCATAAGCTACCATACAGTATCTGATGTAATGGTGCTACTGTAGTTTCTCCACATACATCCAATTGGATTGTATTTTTCATGGGTCTTTGGGGAAATGTCTGAATTGTAATGGAGCAGCTTTTTTCCTTTTCATTATGCAAGTAGGTTTTTGAAGCACTGAATCATTCTGAGATGTGGTCACCAGGTTCTGTGGTGTAATTGTAAAGACTGGTAAATTGGATATCATACGTGGCTGCTCTTCTTAGTCTCCCTGTCCTTCTTCTGGATGGAGGACAAAATGGGACAAATAATCTGCTACTTGATTTAACTTTCCTAGCCTATAATGAATGTCAAAGTTGTACTTAAATGGCATGTCCCACTATCTATATGAAGAGGACAATGGCCAGATCTTGACAGTGACAGCAAGAAATGGTTATGGCTTGGTCATCAGTTCTCAGAGTAGATTTTTTATAGTAGAGAAAGAAATGCCACCATTCACATGCCTCTATACAGGCCAATGCCTCACATTCTCCTGCAGAATATTTTTGCCCAGCTGTGGAAAGAGTTTGAGAAGCAACAGCAACAATGTTTATGTTGCTGATAAATTTGTGATAGAACTGCACCTAAAGCAACAGTGAAGCATCACAAGAGACTAATGTTGGCGCATTTGGTGAAAAATGGGCAAGTATTTGCGCAGATGCTATAGTGTGTTTCAAGGCACATAGAGCATCGAAGCAGGCTTATGTCAACTGCCATTCTGCATCCTATTTTAGTAAGGCACGCAAAGGTGTTGCAATTTCAGCATAGCCAGCTACAAACTTTAAATAATAGTTTAAATTAACAAGCTTTGCTTTATCTTTTGGCTCAGGTAATTTGTGTATAACATCAGTATTGAATTGTAAGGGTTATATACCCAGGGATGAGACTGTATACTTTTGTATATGGCCTACAAAATCAACCTCAGTTTGCACAAAAACACCTTTTTCTTCCATTAGGTTTAGGCTATATTGCATTGGTCTGTGAAAAACTTCAGCAAGATTTGAATTGTGTGCCTCCAGACAGCATGGGATAAGGATATTATCCAAGTAAATTGTTACACCAGGTATTCCTGCAAACACGGTGACCTTTATTCTTTGGAAACAGCTCGGAGCCAAGCACAGTTCAAAGGGCATGTGTTTAAAAGAGACAAGTTCTAGGTACAGTGTGTACTGAAAGTGGTTAGGTTCTTGGCCTGCAATGCAATATTATTATTATTACATCGAGTTTATATAGCGCCAAAGGGTTTGCTCAGCGCTGTACAATAAAGGGGGGACAATACATGGCACAGTACAATAATAACAAACAACGTACGAGGGGTAAGAGGGCCCTACTCTTTTGAGCTTACAATCTAGGAGGAAGGGGGTAGTGGTACAGTAGGAAGTGGTTGAGGGGAATGAAGTGGTGGGAGGAATGAGGGAGAATGGCCGTTAAATGAGGGTGGGGTAGGCTTCCTTGAAGAGATGGGTTTTGAGGTAGCGCCTGAATGTGAGGAGGGAAGGCGACAGTCTGATGGATTGGGGCAGTGAGTTCCAGAGGATGGGGGAGGACCTGGAGAAGTCTTGCAGTCGTGCATGGGAGGAGGAGACCAGGGAGCAGGATAGAAGGAGGTCCTGTGAGGAGCGAAGGGTACGGTAGGGCGGTACTTGGGGATCAGGTTGGTGAGGTAGTCAGGGGCAGTGTTGTGAATGGCTTTGTAGGTCGGGGTTAGAAGTTTAAATTTGATGCGTTGGGCAATAGGATTTATAAGCCTCCATGGAAGTCTAATTTAGTAAAGATTTTTGACCCAGATTTAGTTTAGTAAACATTTTTGGTAAACTAAATCCTCTGTAGCAGGCAGTGGGTAGCAGGCCAGTAATATAGCTTTGTTTACCAGGCAAAGGTCAACACAAAAACTAATTTGTTTTCCTTTCTTGTTGGCTATGACTAGGTTGGAAACCCATGGGGAGGAGTCTATAGGTTCTATAATATCTGCTTGCAGAATTGTTTGCATCCCTTTCTCAACTGCGGCCAAAACTGCTAAAGGGGACCTGGACAAAGACTGCATCACTGGAGAGATCTGAAGGTTCAGAGCTAAATTATGAGAACATTTGTGAATGCAGCCTAGTCCAGTAAAGGACTGGGAGTATCTTTCACTCCAGACACTGTCTTTAAGGTATATTTCAGTATCTGTCTGATCCAGAACTTTAAATCCTTGTGCATGAAATACGTCTAGCCCTAAGAGGTTGGCTCCATGTCAGGGAGCGAGGAGCCAGACACACAAGGAGGTGCAATTAAAGGTAGGTTTATTTACACAGAAACAAGGCAAGAGTCTTTGCAAGTCCGACAGCAACAGTGGATGACTTGGTAGGACAGAAGTTCTCCTGCCGAGGTCGTCTTTCCAGGATAATCAAGTCAAGAACCAGCAGGAATCGTAGCCAAAGCCAGGGTCAGAAGCCAGAAAGAATGCTCGCCAGAGCCGGGGTCAGAAGCCAGGAGGAGTCTTAGCCAAAGCCAAGTCGGTATCCAGGAGAGCAAAGAGTTAACTGAACAGGAGCTTGCTGCTGTGCAACAGACAGGACACAAATGTGATGGACAGCTGCAAACAGCAGACTTAAATGTGATAAGCTGCCACCTCCTGGGAGGAGCCGCAGAGGGCTGAAAGCATAAAAGATCCCACAATGCTTTGCAGACCTAAGATGGATGCCAGCACATGGAGCAGCACAAGCCCTGAGGAAAGGTAGGACCTTGATACTCCACTCTCAGTGACATAAAATGAAAAACTGCACTGAAATTTGGGTAATACTGTAGCCCCTTAGGGTTGTTAGTGTCTCCTGGCATGAATAATGAAAAATGGGTATTGTAAGTTGCTGCATTCAAAATGGAAACCTTTGCTTCTGTGTCTCATAGCAGCAGAATGTTGATGTTACCAATTTCAAAGTGACAGAATTTAAAATTGATCTGATGATTTCCAATTGCATAAATCTGCAGGTCATTAGGCTCCTGATCTGCCTGCTTTAAGTTATTAACAGATGTACTTGCAGTGGATTGGCAACATTTAGCAAAGTGATTAAGGATGTTACAGCATCTGCAGAAGGGCACAGCTTCATGGCTCCCTTGTGGAGGTTACCTCTACAGTTTAAATAATGTGAGTTTGGTGTGCTGTCAGTCAGTTTCTGTATGTGAACAGGAGCTTCATTACCATTCATGGTGCACGGCACATTAATAGCTTCCTTTAACCCTGATTCACACTGATGTGGTGCGGAATTCTCAGCGTTTTCAGTGTGAACTCCGCACCGCATTACAATCGCACCCCGTTCATGCAACCCGCTGCGGGTGTGTATGTTAACTTAATAACACCCCAAAAGCGGTCCACAAAACGCGGTGCGATGTGCAGAATCAAATCACATAGGTGTGAATACCCATGCAATCCGATTCTAGTGTGGACCCACAAAAGGGTCGTGCATGTTTTTGGTGCGGGTGCGGGTGCAGGTGCGGTGCGATTAGAGCCATACAAAATGTATGGCTCCAATTGCACTGCACACAAACCAAATGTGATTTGCACAGGAATGCGATGCAGTTCCTGTGTGAATCACATGCGATTAGAGATGAGCGAATTATTAAAAAATTTGGTTCGGCTGATTCGCCGAATTCGCTGATTAAATTCGCTTCGTGCCGAATATATTCGCTGCGAATTTAACTTATAAAAAGGGTGTTTCTAGGCTTCAGAGAGCCTTTATATTAGTGCAGAACACTGTATCTTTAATTTAAATGCCCTTGGAGTCTGCTGGGGAAGAGAAATAATACTGTCAGTCAGTATGACATGCAGATGAGTGCCGTCGATCTTAGAATCACCACACACTTCACTCATTTGGGCAGTCACGGGGCCAAAACCAGAGTGTGGAGCCACAGTGTGGCGGTGGAGGCAGCAGCAATGGGAGGCCATACAGCACCCTATGACAAAATGGAACCCACCAGCAGTGTGAGGAGACCTGAAAGTGGCACATGGCAGAGTGTGGCAATGGAGACAGCAGCAATGGGAGGCCGTACAGGGACCCATGACACACTCTGGACCTGGCAGCAGCATGAGGAGGCGGTACAGGGGCCCATGACAGATTACGGGCCTGGCAGCAGCATGAGGAGTCGGTACGGGCCCATGGCAGATTACGGGCCTGGCAGCAGCATGAGGAGGCGGTACAGGGGCCCATGGCAGAGTGGCGGAGCGTAAGCAGCTAAAATTGAAGGCCATACAGAGGCCTATGTTAAAAAGTCCCCCCAGCAGCAGCGTGGGGAGACGACTATCAAGAGTCCAATGGCAGAGTGGCGGAGCAGAAGCAGCTTCAATTGAAGGCCATACACAGGCCTAGGTTAAAAAGCGGAAGCCGTCAGCAGCGTGAGCAGACAACAGAGACACATGGCGCAGGGTGGCGTTGGATGCAGCAGTATTCGGAAGCCAAACACAGGCCTCGGTTAAAAAGCGGAAGCCGTCAGCAGCGTGAGCAGACGACAGGGGCACATAGCGCAGGGTGGCGGTGGAGGCAGCAGCAATGGAAGGCCATACAGCACCCTATCACAAAATGGAACCCACCAACAGTGTAAGGAGACCTGAAAGTGGCACATGGCGCAGGGTGGCGGTGGAGGCAGAAGTATTCGGAAGACATACACAGGACTAGTTTAAAAAGCGGAAGCCATCAGCAGCGTGAGCAGACGACAGAGGCACATGGCGCAGGGTGGCGGTGGATGCAGCAGTATTCGGAAGCCAAACACAGGCCTCGGTTAAAAAGCGGAAGCCGTCAGCAGCGTGAGCAGACAACAGAGGCACATGGCGCAGGGTGGCGGTGGAGGCAGCAGCAATGGAAGGCCATACAGCACCCTATCACAAAATGGAACCCACCAACAGTGTAAGGAGACCTGAAAGTGGCACATGGCGCAGGGTGGCGGTGGAGGGAGCAGTATTCGGAAGCCATACACAGGCCTAGGTTAAAAAGCGGAAGCCGTCAGCAGCGTGAGCAGACGACAGAGACACATGGCGCAGGGTGGCGGTGGATGCAGCAGTATTCGGAAGCCAAACACAGGCCTCGGTTAAAAAGCGGAAACCGTCAGCAGCGTGAGCAGACGACAGAGGCACATGGCGCAGGGTGGCGGTGGAGGCAGAGGCAATGGAAGGCCATACAGCACCCTATCACAAAATGGAACCCACCAACAGTGTAAGGAGACCTGAAAGTGGCACATGTGCAGGGTGGCGGTGGAGGCAGCAGTATTCAGAAGACATACACAGGACTAGTTTAAAAAGCGGAAGCCGTCAGCAGCGTGAGCAGACGACAGAGGCACATGGCGCAGGGTGGCGGTGGAGGCAGCAGTATTCGGAAGCCATACACAGGCCTAGGTTAAAAAGCGGAAGCCGTCAGCAGCGTGAGCAGACGACAGAGACACATGGCGCAGGGTGGCGGTGGATGCAGCAGTATTCGGAAGCCAAACACAGGCCTCGGTTAAAAAGCGGAAGCCGTCAGCAGCGTGAGCAGACGACAGAGGCACATGGCGCAGGGTGGCGGTGGAGGCAGCAGCAATGGAAGGCCATACAGCACCCTATCACAAAATGGAACCCACCAACAGTGTAAGGAGACCTGAAAGTGGCACATGGCGCAGGTTGGCGGTGGAGGGCAGCAGTATTCGGAAGACATACACAGGACTAGTTTAAAAAGCGGAAGCCGTCAGCAGCGTGAGCAGACGACAGAGGCACATGGCGCAGGGTGGCGGTGGATTGCAGCAGTATTCGGAAGCAGACCAGAACACAGGCCTGGATGGTTAAAACAGCGGAAGCCGTCAGCAGCGTGAGCAGACGACAGAGACACATGGCGCAGGGGTGGCGGTGGATGCAGCAGTATTCGGAAGCCAAACACAGGCCTCGGGTAAAAAGCGGAAGCCGTCAGCAGCGTGAGCAGACGACAGAGGCACATGGCGCAGGGTGGGCGGTGGAGGCAGCAGTATTCGGAAGCCATACACAGGCCTAGGTTAAAAAAAGGAAGCCGTCAGCAGCGTGAGCAGACGACAGAGACAGAGACACATGGCGCAGGGTGGCGTGGATGCAGCAGTATTCGGAAGCCAAACACAGGCCCTCGGGTTAAAAAGCGGAAGCCGTCAGCAGCGTGAGCAGACGACAGAGGCACATGGCGCAGGGTGGCGGTGGAGGCAGCAGCAATGGAAGGCCATACAGCACCCTATCACAAAATGGAACCCACCAACAGTGTAAGGAGACCTGAAAGTGGCACATGGCGCAGGGTGGCGGTGGAGGCAGCAGTATTCGGAAGCCATACACAGGCCTTGGTTAAAAAGCGGAAGCCGTCAGCAGCGTGAGCAGACGACAGAGGCACATGGCGCAGGGTGGCGGTGGAGGCAGCAGTATTCGGAAGCCATACACAGGCCTAGGTTTAAAACTGGAACCCAGCAGCGTGAGCAGACGACAAAGACGCACATGGCAGAGGATGGATCTGGCAGCAGTATGAGAAGGCGGTACAGGGGCCCGTGGCACAGTGTGGTGATGGGGGCTACAGCAACTGGATGCCAGAAAGTGGCCGATAGGGCTATATACTGCATGACTACATAGGTGGTTTTTATAGTACTTTATTTTGGCTTCCCTCTCAGCAGGTGTGAAAAAGGCCACCATTTTTGAACGGTAGCGAGGGTCCAACAAGGTGGACAGCCAAAAGTCATCCCTCTGTCTGATGGTTATTATTCGGCTGTCGCTACGCAAGCAACCGAGCATGCTATGGGCCATTTGTGCCAAGGAATGCGGGACTCCCTGCCTCCATCTCCACAGCATACTGCCACGGTGCGTCTGGGTCCTCTGTCTCCTCCTCCTCCTCTACCAGATGCTCCTGCTCCTCCACTCCTGTCCGCTGAGTGGAAAAACCACCCATTTCACTCAATAATTCCTGAGCACCAATGTCCTCCTCTACCTCCTCCTCTTCTTCCTGTCCTGCCCCCACAGGGGTCATGTGGCGTTGAGATCTGTGCGCCACGTCTACCGCACCCTGACCAGCCATTGTTAACAGCATTTGTTCCAGGACGTGCAACAGAGGAATGACGTCGTTCATCCCATAGTCCTGCCGACTCACGAATAGCGTGGCCTCCTCAAAGGGCCTGAGCAAGCGGCAGGTGTCACGCATGAGCTGCCAATGGCTGACATCTAAGTTACACAGGGGAGTACCTTTATCCGCTTGTAACATCAGGAAATCGGTGATGGCCTTTCGCTGTTCGTAAAGGCGGTCTAACATATGTAGGGTTGAATTCCACCTTGTTGCAACGTCGCAGATCAGGCGATGCTGTGGAATTCCGTTCTGCCGCTGCAGCTCAAGCAGGGTGTGCTTTGCGGTGTAGGAATGGCTGAAATGCATGCAAAGTTTACGTGACATTTTAAGGATGTCTTGCAGTGGGATGGTGGATTTTAGGAACCGCTTGACAACCAGATTGAACACGTGAGCCATGCATGGCACATGGCACAACCTTCCTTGACGCAGAGCAACACCATGTTCTTTCCGTTGTCGGTCAACTTGGTTCCGATTTTCAGTTTACGCGGAGACAGCCATCTGTCGATTTCTCTGTTCATTACACTCAGAAGTTCCTCCCCTGTGTGACTACGTTCGCCAAGGCATACCAGGTGCAGCACAGCGTGACACCGTTGCGCCCTGCACATGTGATATGCCGGTCGGGTAATGGGACTTGGCACGGGGGTGGCGGCTGAGGACACGGCGGAAGAAGAGGTGGTAGAGGAGGACATCTTTGCTGGACCAAGGACGTGCAAACGTGGAGGCAAAAGCGGCGTGACCTGTCCAAGTTGCTGGTGCGGCTGTGCCGGCACCACGTTCACCCAGTGGGCCGTAAATGACATGTACTGTCCCTGACCGTAGTTACAGCTCCACACGTCGGCGCTGCCGTGCACTATTGGCAGAGACCGACATGCTCAAAGACTGGCCCACCATCTCTTCTACATGTGAATGCAGGGCTGGCACTGCCTTTTTGGCGAAGAAATGCCGGCTTGGCACTCTCCACCGCGGCTCGGCACAAGCCATCATTT